TCTGTACCTTGGGAAATAATGTAGCACATAATGAGGCACTGTCAGTGCATCTTAGATTTCCATCTGACTTCAGCAAGTCAGCAAAAAAGTTTAAGACACTTTATTATAATTGCATAGGGAATGGAAACTAATGGGGGTGGTGGGGGGGTGACAATTTGGCCATCATACCCTACAGAACTGAGCAATTGCCAAATACAGTTTTGATTGTTTACCTTGTCTAAATCAGGAATGTGTGTACAGAATGAGGCCAGAAGGACAATGCATCAGAACTTAAATTGTTTGGGGATAGTCTGAGAATAGAAAAATGATTCTAGATATAAAACAGTGCTCATTAAAAGGGTAAAACATGAGTAATATTTATTTTCCTTCCAAAATTTAAGTGCCATCGATTTGTTTTAATATGCAGAAAGAGTATTTACAAAAATACAAAACTCTCCCTGGCAGAGGCAGAGGGTGCTGCTACTCACATCAAGGTATCAGGAGCTCATAATTTTAAAAGTTCGTAAGCCACCTCCGTAATGTTATCTTTGGCACCCAGAACAACAACTCAAGATCTTTGTCACTGTTGGGAAGAAATAATTTTTCTTGTTGTTATTGCTACCCACCAAATCATCATTCCTCTTTTTCTTCTGCTCAACAAGAGACATTCAGAAGAGTCAGCAAGAGACTTTCAGAAGATGGCTTTTCTCTGAGCCACTCACAGAGAAAAAGGAAGATCTTAGGACAGCCATATGGGTACCACAGATTTTTCCTGTCCCTTGGCACCCAGAAGCAGACCCTGGAGACACCCTATAGATAAGTTTCTCTGTGATGTGGATTGGAACACAATTTACCCATGTTTTCTACAACTGTGACTATCTTTGTGCTGCTGTTTTAATTTCTATGGTGCATTTACAAGAAAAAGATGATATTTGCACACACTTGGAAAACTTGATTTCAGGGAGTGAATAAATGTTGAGGAATGTCAACTTTTTAATAGACTACATCTGAACAAAATACTGGACCAAGCCATCTGTACCTGGGAGCATGTGTGCAGAGGCAAAAAGGTACAAACATAGGGCAGAGAACTGTGACTAGGAGAATACAAAAAGTCTTGTGGAATGTGCAACAAAGAGATGAGAAAGATGGGAAAGATTGAAGTGGGTGAGGCAGATGGGTTAGCACAGCACACATACAAGAACAATATTCCTACATCCTTGAGTATGTGTTTGTCAGGGCACTGGATTGCCCTGAACAGCCACATCTGGGGCCCCCACTCACTCATCCTGCTGCTCACCGGCCCATCTAGGCTCAGGGGTACCTGTCTCCAGCCCTTCCTCCTGGATGGACCTTGGGCTACATCAGAGCAGTGTCTGGCCTCTCAGGAGTCGTCCACTCACCCTGCCTGGGGCTGAATCCTGTATCACCACTGCCAGGCTGGTTCTGCCCTCTCTCTCAGGATCCTGTGGAATTATGTTCTGACCAGGAGGGGCTTGTGCTGGGGGCATCCACTTTGCTTCCTTCATGGAACAACGTGTTCTTGCTGCTCCCTGGAAATATTAAGCCAGTCATGGCCTTGAGGGGCATATACAAATCATAGAATCACAGAATGGTTTGGGTTGGAAAGGGCCTTAAAGATCATCCAGTTCCAATCCCCCTGCCATGGATAGCGACATCTCCCACCAGGTCAGGTTGCTCAGAGTTCCCATCCAACCTATCCCTGAATTCTTCCAGGGATGGGGCATCCACAACTCCACTGGGCAATCTGTTCCAGTGCCTCACTGTAGGCACACACACAGTTTGCGGTGAGTGGGAGTGGGGCAGAGCCCAGCCTCATCCCCAGTGGGCACAGCTGTGAGAAGCAGGTGAGCAGCACTGACAGCAGTGAGCCACGGAGTGCCCAGGTGTGCTGACCAACTGCCAAAGGGAACAGAGGGCACACAGGTGCAATGCATAAATGTGAGGGGTATAAAAGATTGGGCTAAAGAACAAGAAGGGCAGATGCTTGAAGCTGATGTGATATAGTGTTACTCTGTATGGGTTGAAGCTTTCTGAGGTTGTATGGTGACATTCTGTGTGTGTCATGGCTGCCTTGACTGTGACATGTGCTGTGACACCTCACTACCCTCAATGTAAAGACTTTCTTTCTAGTATCTAATCTGAACCTATTTTTTTTTTTTTTGTTTGTTTGTTTAAAGTCATTCCCCCTTGTCCTGTCACTATATTCTATGGTAAAAACTTTCTTTCCATCTTTCTTGCAGGCTCCCTTCAGGTACTGGAATGCTACAATGAGATCGCTCCATGTTCTCTTCTCCAGGCTGACCAACTCCAATTCTCCCAACCTTTCCTCACAGGAGAGGTGCTCCATCCCTCTAATCTTCTTGGTGGTCTCCTCTGGACTCAATTCAACAGGCTGATGACCTTTCTGTGCTGGGGATGCCAGAAATCGCAATGACTTCTCAGACACTCATCAGTGGGGTCGGTGTCGTTTACCAACCACTTCTGCTGACCCTGGCTGCTAACTTCTGCAGAAGATCTTGTGTCCTTCTGACACTGAAGCTGGAACATGTCAAATGTGTATCAGTGAAAACCTTACTTCATAGAAACTCTGCTTTCTGTAATTTCATGGGTTTTTTTTTGTTTCTTACATAAGGAGAGATTGCATCCCTAAGCTGTCTTTGCTACTGATAAAGATGGCACAAACTCATGACCTAACAGATTGCTTCTATGCTAATGAAAATTAACTGAGACACCTAGATTAGTCCTTTTTTGTATGAGACTTATAAAGTTTATCAAAGCCAAAGTCAAATTGAAAAGAATGTACTTGTGTTCAGAAAAAAAACTTACTATTATTTCAATATAGAGTGGTGGGATATTTCATCAGCAATGCAATGTGTTGAAACTGTGCACAAACATTTGACATGGTATTTCACAATATCCTAAACAGCATCTGCATTTGTAAACAGTATTTAGGGAGGCCAGGATTGCTTATACTGTGATGATGTTATCTGCAGAAATGCCAGACTAATGCTTACTCTTGCTAAGCATACATTCCCTTATGAAAAGCCTGAAATTTTAAAACTTAGACTCTTCTGCATCCTCCAAATCCAATGAAATCTGAACAAATATTTCATTTGCCAGTCAGCTTGACAATAGTTAAAGAGCATTGTGCTCTTGGTATGAACAGCTGCAAAGCACAGACATCCTCTCCTGACAAGGGTGCTTGCCATTTGTTTGCTGTGATATGCCAATGTGAGAATTCACAAGCTAGAGCTTGTGAAATCAAATTTCCTCTGAAGGGAATTAAAGCTGGATTTGGCCACCTATATTTATTTACCACCTTGAGTTGCAGACTGAGTAACTGCTTTTTGTTACTGTTGTTGTTTGCACTGTATCTGGAGGGATACAGTCACCACGCTGAAAAAACGGAGAATGGGCTAGGAAAAGTAAAGCAGCCTCAAGTGTAGTTTCACCATTTGGGTTTGCTGCTTTTACAGTACAGCCTTTTTCTTTTTCCACTCCTCACCAGCTGTGGTCCCATTCCTGAGCCCACCTCTATCATGAACTTTGCCAAGTGTATTTTCATGGCTACACAGATACCCGTATTGGTGTGTCCAGTCTTCACACTGATCACAAAGGCTTTGCAATGGGGCCGTGTCCATCTCTTCCTGGAGAAAAGGAGGCTCAGGAATGACCTTATCCCCCCTAAACTCCCTGAGAGGAAGGCGTAGCCAGGTAGGGGTCAGGCTCTTCTCCCAGCATAGGATGAGAGAACTGGCCTCAACTTTCACCAAGGTGTGAAAAACGCTAATCACTACTTGGTTTTTAAAATTTTTAAAAGTTTAATAATAATAAAATTGTTATAAAAATAGTAATACAATTAGAGTAATAAAGTTTAGAGCTAGGACAATTACAATACAATAAAAAGTAAAGAATTATGGACGTTAGGATGCTCTTGGACACTGTCATGAAAAGCATACCTTGTGAACAAAGGAATAACTTTAAAAGCAATAGCCTGTTGCGTATTCATATATCTCATACATGATGCATAAATTTCTTGTAAATTAAGAACTTTTCTGGTTTTTGTCAACTTCTCTTTAATCTTGGTGGTTCTAAAAAGATGGAGAGAAGGTAGAAGAAACTTTGTATTTTCTGATAAGGAGGCAGTAACTTTTTATGGGCCCTGTTCTCTGACATCTCTGTGTGAAGAGTTTCTCGATGATTTCATCTTCTTGCTTGAGCTTGTAACAAATATTATATCGCAAAATTTCTATTTTAACCTTATGCTGTAACCTAAAACTGTTTTAAACACACTACTTAAGAGAATTAATACAGCATAAGTTTCTAACATTACACATATAATATTCATCATAACATTTGCGAAAAGCCAATCATAAAATATGCATTTTTCACAAAGGGATGTTCAGGTTGGACGTAGGAGGAATTTTTTTTTCCCAGAAAAGGCTGACTAAACATCGGAATGGGCTGCCCAGAGAGGTGGAGTCACCGCCCCTGGAGCTAAGATCTGGATGTGGCACTTAGTCGATGGAGGTATTTGGTGAAAAGTTCGACTCTATGACCGCAGAGATCTTTTTCAACCTTATTTATTCGCTGATATGCTTATGCTACTAAAAGCACAAATTACATACATATGTGTGTGTGTACCAAGCGTGTTCCCATACCAAATGACGCTGAGGAGAGCAGCCTACGGCAAATCCCGGCTGCACCCTCAGCTCGGTTGTGGCCCGTGTGCGCAGGACGCGGCAGCGCAGCGCAGTCCCGCCCTGCACACCGGCAGGCAGCTCCCGGGGCGCCCGGAGCAGGGAAGTTTCCCCTGGAACACCCGGAGCAGGGAAGTTTCCCCTGGAACACCCTCCGCAGGGAAGTTTCCCTTGGAACTCCCTCAGCAGGGAAGTTTCCCGCGGAGCTCCCTCAGCCGGGCCGGGCGGCGCGGGCCGGGGCCGGGGGCGGGGCGGCGGGCGCGGCCGTGTGTCGGGAGCGCGCCCGGCGGGCGGCCGCCATCCGCCATCTTCTCTGCGCGTCCGGCGGGAGCGCTGCCTCTGCCCCCTCCTCCTTCTCCCTCCTCCTCCTTCTCCCTCCTCCCACTACGCTCCGCCGTCGCCGCCGGTCAGGGACGGGGCGACCGGGATAGCGAAGGCCGCAGGGAAGGCGGGGGACGGGGGAGCAGCCCCGCGGGGGCGGGCGGGCCGCGGGGCGCCAGCCCGGGGGGTTCGTGCGGCCCCTCCGCTCGCCCTGCCGGCCGGCCGGGCCCCGCTCTCCATGGGATAAGCTGTAAACATGTTCAGCTTTGAAGGGGATTTCAAAACAAGGCCCAAGGTGTCCCTCGGAGGAGCGAGCAGGAAGGTAAGGAGCGGCGCCCGGCCGTGCCCGTGTCTGTGTCGGTTCTGTCGCCCCCCGCCCTGTTATCGGTGCTTTTACTGTCGGGCCTTCTGAAATGGGAGCAGCGATGACTAAGGTTTAATAGAGGAGAAAAACCCTCCCCTCCTGACGATGTGTTTATCTCCGATCTCCCTGCCTCACTGTTATTATTATTTTTTTGTATAATCAGGCCACACCATGCCAAGCTTGTAGTGTAGTAAGAATTGTGGGAAGCGAGGAAATGTCTCCTTGGCTCGTCCCCCCCGCAGGCGATGATCCATCCCGGCTGTCGCGGCCGGTGGCACCTCCCCAGCAGTCGCTCTCCAGGGGGAAAGGACTCGGGGACCTCCTGACATTTCCCCCCGGTGGGAATGCCTGGCGGGGATGTGGGACACACGCAGCCTCACACAGCCCGAATTGCCGGGGGAGGTTCATCCACGTGAGCCGGGGCCGCCGCGTTGGTCTCTGTCAAGTTTAGGTTCGGTCAATTTGTTGTGCGCAGGGTTAGTAACAGTTAATTGTCAGCTGTACCCGACTGTTTGATCTCCTCAAATAGTGTTTATTGATGGGAAAGAAGCAGTGTGATTTATTCAGATCTTGCTGATTGGACAGGGTAAGCAAATGTTTAGTCGAGCACTGAAGGGCACAGGACTTCGGAAGAACGACAGAAAGGACAAAGTGTTTTTAGAAGTGGCCTGATCTGTAGGGGTCACTTTAATTCTCTGTGAAAATACTAAGTCTCCTCGTTGTCATTGGAGATGGCTGTGTAGGAAGCTAACGAGTGTTTCCATTCATATTTTGGAATTTTAATTGGGTAAATAAGTCTCAAGTTTTTATTACTGTGCATTAAAAGCAAGTTTGATTCTTGGAAACTTTTGAGGTTTGGCAGTACAGTGAGTAAATGAGGAAAAATACTGCAATATGTGATAGTAAAATCGCAGTGAAGTTTGCATTTTGGCATAATAAAAGAAATTACAAGAGATTGTATACAGAACTGTATTTAGATTATGCAGCTTTTCCTCTGATTCATCTTCTGTTTATCTTAAGACATGTCTGTTCATTAGGCCATGTAAACTGGCATTACATGAGTCAAAATGCCATAAATACTCCCCAGCTTAAGTAGGAGTTGGCAGAACATGCCCTGGTCCCCAGCTGTACACTTCAGGTACTTTGCAACTTTTGACCCTGACTTGCTTGTAGTGTTTCTTGCTGAACATTCTGCCTCCTACAGAAGTAAACAACTGCTATAACATGTTCTTTTTCACTTAGCAATTCATGAAAATGTATCAGAATTATGTCTATTGTAATTACATGAGACAAATTTATTAATGTTATGCAGGCATACATTTCCAAGGGCAGATATTAGCATGTAAAGGACTAGAAACTGAAATTGATGCATAACCTTCACTGTGTGCAGTGGAGGTTGTGGTTCATGACAAGATTGATACTGACTGGTGCACAGATTTCATGATTCTACATCAGTTCACCAAAGTGCTTGTGCTGCATCAGTGCAAATCACAGGCAGCTTTGGGCATCATGGTTACATAGACATCCTAGAGTGTCCTTGAAAGAGCTGCTGATTTTCAGAAGCTGTGTACAGTACTAATGAAAGAATTTTTTAAAGCAGTACTAAAAATTACTTGTAAATGCAGTTTAGCTGAACTTCTGTGAAAACATTCTGCAACAGAGATTACTGTGGGAAGTGTTTGTGGGTTCTGTGTTATGCCTTAAGATTTTAGCTTTTGTGTTTTTCAAATCCTATACTGCATTAGGGCATAGCTCTAAACTCCATATAAAGTGTAGTTAACTGTCTTCACATTTTGGTTAGACAAAACAATCCCTCTGGGCCTGTTATCCGAGGACACCCTACAGCCTCAGGCCCCAAAAAGTGTAAACAAAAATGATTTGGGTGGGAGCAAACTGGGGGAATAGGTTTTCATTACCTGAAGCTGTAATTGGAGGTCTAACCCCTGATATGTAAATAGACCAAACTTATATCAGTCTGAAAGTCATGACCAGTGTTTATTTTGGATGTAGCCCCTTGGGAAGGTTTTACCTGCTCTTAATGTACCTGAAGGCCCTTCATTGAATATATCTGCTTTTATCTTTTGACTTTGTCTGATGTCTGTTTCTAGGTAAGCCTGAATTAGGCATCATGTGAGTTTCTCATTTCACATCATAGGTTCCTTGGGATCATGTTTCTCAGATGTATAAACTTCATTTTTGTAGAAAACTGAATCGTGAATTATTTCCTTCCAGATTTTGGCACGCATACAAAAAACCCTCATTTTTTTGACAAATGCCCTTGCCCTCCTAAATGGTGTATACTTTAGAAGCTGTACCTCTGATGTGCTTTTGGCAGCCAGTTGCATACTTAGTGCTGCCTATTGTGATTCCTTTGGTAGAAGACAAGGCACCATTCAGAAACACTGGGGCCATGCAGTCTGTTTAATGCTGGGAATAACTCTGTACCCACTTTGGGGAAGTTTCCCAAACATAGTTGCACCACTGCAGAACAATGACGAAACCTCCTGTTGGAGGAGCCAATCAGTGCTAAAGGTGCCAGTGGGGCCTGATATGAGTGAAAACTACACCAAAATAGTGATCAGCAACACTATTAGAAATGTGGTTTTGCTGATGGAAGTGCAGCTGCAAACAGTGACTGTGTTGGGCACACTCACATGCGCTGACACCTGTCTGGCACTGCCATGTGTGTCTGCAGTGTTTCCTTAGGCCTCACAGGGGGCTGACTTCAGTAAGTTCTATTAGGTGCACAATGATAGAAGTAAAATTGGGGACTTGAATAATTGTGGCAGTAAGGTACTGAATCTAGTGTGCCTTCTCATCATTAGCTTGTATGGCATTTTTGAATTACAAAAACAGAGAGCTTTGGGTCTGTTTTTAGCTGTTTGCATCTTATATCATGTGTGTTATGGTTGGAATTGTGTGTGCTCTTGAGAGGCACTTCAGTCCACCCATATCAAGCATCACTTGTTTTTATTCTAGTCACAGGCTGTTGTGACTCAAATGTTCTCAAAATTACTACCTCAGTGACTGATCCTTTCAGAATATTACTGTAGCATTATAATAATGCATTGTACAGAAGTGCAGAAGTGTAAGTGGTATTGTCAGTGCTTGAACTTTTCCTTCCATACCTACTTTCAAGAATCTGCTGATTCATCTGGATTTTTGCCCTGTTGTATGTGTTTGAGTGTGTAGATACAGGACATTATCATTATTTACAATGTGATAAACTAATTTTAGAGGGTTTTATTTATTTATTTTTATTTTTGGGGTAGTTTATCATCACCTTTAAAACATGGTTCTTTGCTTTATGAGGCTCTTCAAAAGAAATTTTCAAATTTAGTTTAATTGTAACTGGCAAACTGTATTTGGTAAAGCAGGTAAAGCAGCCTCCAAAAATGAGTGCTGTTACTGGAGTTCAGTATGGGAACATCTTGAATTACTCATGGACATTTTGTAGAGGACAGCAATTGTTGTCTGGAAGGCTGTGGCTGCAGAGATTCTGTGGTGTGTTAGGCAGGAAATGCAGAGCTGTGCATGAAGAGTTGGCTTGGGGTGCAGCTCAGATTGGCCTCACCCAACCCAACTGTGAGAGGACTGGAGCAGATGGTGCCTTCACCTGGCTGCTTCCCAGCCCATCCCTGTGTCCTGTGCAGTGAGCATATTTCTGCTAGGTGGAGTGTCACCAGGCCTTTTGGGGACAGCTGTCAGCTTTCACTGATTTTAGCATGAGGTTGAACACAGCACAAAATTGGCTTAACCGCATCAGCCTGACTTGGGACAGTCAGGCCTAGTGTTACTTCATTCATTTCAGTAAAATTAAGAAAAATTTGAAGTAGCAATGCTTTAGCGCATCCGTGCAAGGGATCCCAGGTCAATGCTGAGATGTACAAGGGGCTCTGTAGCTCCACATTGTTTGATTACATTGTGAAATGTATGAATGACACTTTGGAAGTCTAACAGGAAAAATGTGTGAAAGAGTATTAAGTCAAATTACAGTATCACTTGAGCTGTCTAAACCATGCTTTTACAAATCCCAAGACTGTTTAAAATAGATGATTTTTAAATTATAATGCATTTTGAGATAATTTAAAAAACCCTTCTTTTTCAGCATTTGTAATACAGATGAGTTAGCAGGGTCATAAAAGTGAAAGTGAAAACAACTTCATTGAGTTTGGGGTTCTTTTTGATCTTCGCCTTTTTTTATGGAAGACATAGAAGTTTACTAATGTGCAAATATTGATGACTCCATCTGTATTTTAAAAAGTCTTAGTAATTTCTTTTAATATGGACATTTCACTAATCAGAGATATTAAATTTACAAAGTTTGTTTATATTTAATTTAGTAGTTTCTGATTTGCTTTCTTAAATTAGTAGCATGACATTAAGCATTAGATTCTTGTTTATATTTCCCCCTGCTTTCAGCTGAAGTGCAGTGGTAGAACTCCAGAAGCACCTTGTTTACTCTTTATTGTCTGTAGTCTACACATGAAATAACTTCTTGTGGTATTATAATTAAAATTTTACGAACAGTAGGCTGTAAAATTGCCAGTGCATGGAGAGATCTGCCCATGTTGGGATTGATTGTTGTGGTAGATGCCTGTAGGATATAGGCATTGATGGGACGGTTAAAAACCAGTTTTATTTCTCTCTTACTGATGGATTGAGGAAAATAGTTAATAATTTTAGGAACGAATATTTTCTGTTTTATTATAACTTATTTAACTCTACATCATGCCACAGTGGAGGTGAAATGATGGTAAGGATTTATAGTATGGGAGTTCTAGATTACAATTACAAATTGATTATTTATTTTTGAATGGAAGGAATTGCAGTGCTTGGCTCCTAAGACCTTTGTCCTCTTGGGCACATGGCGTAGCTCTGTGTGCAGCCACACATCTCACTCTGAGTCAGCTTGAATCTTGCAGTGTCACAGCCTAAGCCTTGAAATACTCTTGGAA